GGCTTAAGACTGTCCCCGACGATAAATCGGGTCGGGCTGCGTCGGCCGACGCTGTCTGAGTTGGCCTTTACAGTTTGCTGTTGAAAACGTTATTTCCCAGAACCATAAATACATACTGTAAAACACAATTTCGCAACTATATAATGTTCAAACGTTCCTGCAACTTGTGTGAATGTTATTTTGTGACATACCTAATCACAATGTTTGCAAAAATTCTAAGAATATTTTCTGTTTGCTGGGATCATCATGTTTTATGCAACCATAAGCTATTACTTTTATTCCTCCATGGTGCAACCATCACATTTTAGCAACCATAAGTAACAAACTAACACATTGTACTTTACTTAGCATAAAATCAATATGGCTGGGTAATGTTTAGTTACACAGTTGGTGGTGTCCTTGGTGTGTGGCTATTGGAAATCTCTTGTATTGATGCAAGGTGAACTATCTTTTATGTCCAGGATTTGTGCAAACAAGGTTTTAGGATTTATTTCTTTCATTCACACCCAACTGCTTTTGCCTATTGAACGATGCTTTCATCATCAAGTAGGCCCTAGGCCTAGTGCTGTCTTTGAGTCAAATGTCATGTGTCACCACTGTGAGATTCGGCCATTCTTTATATTTTTCCATAATTTCTCATGTTTAGCCATTCTTTGATGTTATCAAACCACATCTTCCTTAGTCTTCCTCTGCATGCTTCCCCTTCTATTTTACCTTCTAGAATATATTAACGTTCCATTCGATCCTTGTAGTACAATATGTCCCGCAAACCTAACTTTCTTTCGATCTGCTATCTGTTTCAAGAAACTTAGTTTTAACATCTTCTCTTCTTCATACGTCTTCATTCAAAACTTATGATGCTTTACAAACATAAAAGCATTGGTGGATCTGAGATCCCCTTGGGCAAAAAAAAAAAAAATTCAAACCTACAGTTTTTTTTGTTACAGTGGGAAAATTAAGAATCAAGGAATCAAAATTTTCCCGGGGGAGGCCCTGACCCCACTTTCTTTTTTGAGTTCATTGATTAATGGAAAAAAGAATACATATGCAACTACTCAATTTTTTTATGTACAGGGATATGTATACACACCTGTCTCTTATACACATCTAGATGTGTATAAGAGACAGGTTCAATATACATTCTACTTTGAGACAAAATTGTGGTGATAAAGGATTTGAGCCCATAGAACCAGAACTCTGGAATTGGAAGGAACATATTAACCACCAGAATATAGCTCCATATATGCTGTGTGTGTTGAGATAGCAATTAGTTCATTAATAAATCAAATTCAGGCTTTGAATTGCTTACATTTTATTTATGTTCCAAGCTTTCAATTTAAATAATTAGAATGGAAGGGTATGTGGCGAAGACGAGTCAAACCAGTGACTCAGCGCAAATTGTGTTTTAGGAGATAATGGCCAAAACATGTTGGAATATGAAGATTTTCAAAAATTTATATTATTGCACTAATAAAGTAACCTTTATATATCTATACATTATGCTATGTTGTTATTTTACCTATTTTCAATGTTAAAACATTTTTTAATGATGGTGATGGTCTCTGCCTGTGAAATCTCCAAAATTGTAAACTTTTAAGGCTAAATTTTAAAATACAGTTCTGTAAACAGCTGTATGTTTAAGCTCAAGTAAAGTCTGGTTTCTTTAAAATCGCTACACTGTCGCTACAGTCCCCAACGCGATTAGGAAGGCTCCCCAATTCGTCCGACCAATCAGCATCACTGAAAGCTGTCGGCAATAGTATGTAGCGATTGTATGGAAACATACTTCACTTACATAACAAAATGTTAGATTTAAATGATTCTTTCGCTATTTCATAACTTTCATTTTACTGTAACCCTGTATTAATAACTGGAAATTGTTTTTTTTTTTTGGTTCTTTTTTTTTAACAAGGAGTGACTGATTTTGCTTGTCTTTGCCACATATAATTTGACTTGACTGGCAATCAATTTCTTAATTTTTGTTGTGCATTAATAAGTTTAATAAAAAAGTGAAAACAAACTGTCTCGATTTGGATGAACAACTATCTCCAGTAAACAAGAGACTGTAACCTGTACCAGGCTCAACACATATTCCTCAAGCCTAAGCTGGGCTAAGTGTGAAGTGCTTCATATAGATCCTTCATATTCCATAGAAGTCTATAATGTACTGGAAAACCAATTTAATACCAATACAGTACTTATGATAGGCAGTATCAAATATTTGATTAGATAATGTTAAATTGTATTGTATATATGCAGAGAAGATATTTATCAGCGTGTCCAAATAGGCATATTGAATCTATATATTTTGAGCAAACTTTTTTTCTTTGCAGATATATTATGCAAACTCAAATTAGTATGAATAATATAAGTCATATGGCTGTCCATATAGGCATATTAAATCTATATTTAGAGCAAACCTTTTTCTTTACAGATATATGATACAAACTCAATGAAGTATGAATACTATGATAAGTCATATGGCTGTCCATATAGGCATAGAGAATTGATTACTATTTTGAGCAAACTTTTTCTTTGCAGATATATTATGCAAACTCAAATAAGTACGAATATTATGATAAGTCATATGGAAGACATTTTGAAGAAGATACAGTAATTGAGGGTAAGGCTTTATTGCTTTTTTCAATGGTAGTGGTGGTGTGAGGGTGGAGCAGTGTCACATTTATGAATTGGTTTTATTAATTATATAATATTAAATTACAAGTAAATTTGTATTATAATGATAGTTAATGGCATTTACTGAGACATGTTTTTTTTTTTTATCCTGGATAGACATTCAGTTAATATTTTCTTCCTCTTTCAGTTTTGTCTGAAAATTCGTCATTTTTCTAAGCTGTCTTTTAATATTTATGTGGCTTTAGAGAGACATATTGCTCATGAAATTCATAAATAACAGATGGTAATTTGACTTACATTCATCCCAGGCTGTTGATTTGCATGATTCAGTCAGCTGGTTTTTGTATTGATTTTGTTTAATCATTACAAACATTTGTTTACAGTTGTTTCAAATTAATTTTTTTGTAATGCAACAATAGTCCTAATTATAGTCTACTATGCAGAATTGTGGCATATCAGTTGTTCAAACTCTCAGCCTAGAAACTTAGAATTCTTTTTTGTTCCATAATTTTTTTTATGTTGCCATTTTTTGGTGTAATTTTGATGGGTTTACCATTTAACACATTATTTTTTATCCTTGGATATAATATTATTTTTCTGAATTTCAGCTAGCCCTTTTTATCCATAATGTACATACAGTATAAAAATGAAACTGGCATGTTTTATAATATTTTAAAATGATCGTTGAAAATAAATATTTGTTTTGAGGGCAGGCTATCTCAAATATTGGTATTCTCGTCGTTGATAATTGTTGTATGAAGAATCTGACATATCAATCAATTTGTGATCTGTCTCTTTGGCTGGTTCATAGTAGGCAGTCCCGCCATGTTTCACAGCCTTGCACTGCTTTCCTTAACTCTTGATATGTGCATCTATGTTTCGGACTATCCAGGAATACACATCTTTTTCAACCTCTGACATATCAGTAAAGCCGATTAGCTAAGGGTAAAAAAGGTAGACCCTAAAAGATTGAGGATTTGGTTTCGGTGGGGGCTCGGGCAGCACTAAGGATTTTGGCCTTTTATCATCAAATGAAAAAGACTTTTCCTCTAGTCGACATGATTAACTCAGGCATGTGGTATTCGTCACTTCACTCATACATTACGTCGATTAATGAAAAATCAAGAGATCTACAATTCATTGAGATTCAGTGAATAGTATCATGCATAATCTGTAAGAACATAATATATTCATCATCGTGGGGCAAATATTCTTGTGAGAAACACATTAAGTAAATCTTCTCTGCTATAATACATTTTATTTTCTTGTAGGCTTCAAGAGGTTCTTCCAAACTGAAGACAATTTCCAGTTTGATGCGCTAACTGAAATACTTTATCGGTTGAACCAGTTAGAAGATTGGTTCGTTCATCAGCGTCTGTTACACTTCATCTCCAGTTCTATATTATTTGTATACGAGGGCGACAAACAAGACAGTGTATTAACAAATCAATCAGTGGATACCGTTCCAGAATTATTACCAAAGAATCATTTATCCAAAGCTGAAGCGAGAGCTGACGAGCTGCTAACCAATGATAAGAAGACAAATACCAATGGCATTCAAGGTTCGTGGTATGTTGGTAATCATGCAACTGGTAAACATGTTGTCAATGGCTCTACAAATGGGGCAAGAACAGTTTGTATGCAATGTTGTAGTAGTTCTTCAAAAACCTGCACTCCCACTGATCTTAATGGTGGGCTAAACCATAAAGTACCTAGAGATAACAAATGCAATTGTGAATTCAAGAACTTCGTCCTTCTCGATGGAAATATACCGGATAGCTTTCCGTTGAATGATTATCAACGGACCAAACCTTGCACACCAAATCAGACACCAAAAAATCGTATTGTGGAAATGGAGGAAAATATATGTCCGAACGATGAGAGATATCCAAAACGTAAGCCATGTTGTATGGTGGACCTAAAAATGATCGACTTTACCCATGTTATAGAAGACCCTACTCAGGATGATAATTATTTATTTGGGCTACGGAAATTAATTAGTAATTTAGAAACACTTCGAGCTTCATATAAATCAAATTGATCACTACAATTTAGAAATACATTTTGAAACTTAAAAATACAGTAAAGAACTTATAATATTAAGAATATTATTATCATTAATAATATCAATTGAATCATAGATCCTATCTTAAAATTTAAATAAATTGAATTAATTGAAATTATAATAATATATTATATTCCAAAATCACCAAAGTTTTTTTTGTTTTGTTTTTTGCACATATTTTTACTCATTAATTGCAATGTAGCCCATGATGTCACTAATTAGTGTTAGTGTTTTTAATTTTATTTTGAAATATTTATACTATTCTGCTTTTGGTGAACATTTTTTAAGTGCCTTAAAAGATAAGCGGTGTGGTTGTTATAATAATGTGAATATAAAAAATGATTAATTGTTACTGGTAAATAATAATTGTACAAATGAATAGAACAGAATAGAAGTAAATGAACAATATATTATATTTATACACATTTCATATAAAAATAATTTAATTTAAGGTATAAAACATAATGGTATGAATATGGTAATTATGTAACTATAATTGATATGTATTTTCTATCTCAACTAAGTTAATAGTTAATTATTACAATATTAAATCATTTTTGATAGATTAATACCCAAGTGCTATATGCTTTAACTGCCTGCTGTTACATCTAGTGATTGTGTGACCAATGGACAACAGCTCTTACAATCTGTCAGGTTATAAAACAGATGAAGAGAGATATCCAGGAGAATATTTAATGAATGATATTTGTGAAAGCAATCGATTGTGCAAGCCCGTTGGCAAAATTCCTAAAGGGGGAATGTCCACACCCACCTCAGCCTCACCATCGATGGGAAAGATTTTGGGATATTACAAAATTTCAAATGCTTGAGTTAATTTCAACGTTTAATTTCAACAACGTTCATGCAAATTACTAATAATTTATATGGGCATTTCTGGAAAAAATGGGTTCTTTCAAACCCCATGAACCCTCTGGCTGGACTTTTGCTATCCCAAAAGTTTACCTGCCTTATAATACCTGCCTAATAATACAAAGCCAAAGTAGAGATATTTGCCATTCTATGATCAATACCTATTTTTAATACTGTATTACCTATTCATACAAATGGTTTCTCCCAATATGTTGGTTCTACAGTGTTTATTATAATTTCTTTTTTGTAGGTCTAGTTGCTACTCACCCCTTTCTCCAGCTGTTAAGAAAGTTGATTGATTGAAAATATTGAATACAACACTTCTCTTAACCTCAGTCACTAATGTATGACTCTTTCATTTCCTGACAAGTCTATACCTGTAGAAAATACAGAATTTATGAGCTAAATTATTCATGGGTGCGTTAATGATTTACTGCAAACACCAGACGACCAATGAATGTTTCTGAAACAAATTCAAAATGTCTATCTAAAATTGTAGAAATTTAGAAACAAATTTTAAATTATAAAGATTACAATATTTCAATGTTTCCACTGTTGAATTTTAAATCTAGAATTTTGGAGATATTAAACTAGTAAATTTTGCAGCATAGATTGGTTGAAGTACGAGATTCTCAAATCTATAACATTGACCAGAATTTGTAGGACTGTCCGAAAATCAGCAAACAAAAAGCTCCCAAATTCTAACCTATCTACCGCAAATCCGTGATGACACCTTTTTCCACTGTATTAGGCCTTTTAATTGTCTTATCAAAATAACTATATTTGTAGTTTATGAGCAAATTAAATATGATTATGCACAATCTATGCCTACACACAGACCCCGACAGACACTGATTGCTAATGAGGATTTTCCCTTTTTAAAGAGCTTTCTATAAAAAGTGCAGCCCAGAGTAGGGAAAAAATCAAAAGGAATTAGTTTCCCTTCTGTTATAATATTATAAAGCAAGTACTTCAACTTGCATAATTAATAAGGTCAGAAGGGTTTTATTATTTACAGTATTATTTATTTAAGTCTAAGTAATAGGAAATTTTTATTTTTGGTGAAAAAAATGGTATTTCCAGGGTAAACCAATTATGTGACATATTTATAATATCTGTAAGTTGTTTTACATTTTTAAATATAATGTTATGTTGTTATATTATAAATGTTCCAGCAAAAAAAATATAATTTTTTACTAGATTTTGTGTCAAACTTTTATCATGTTCAGGGTATGTTTAATCATGGTTTAACAAGCTATCTTTTTGCACATATACAGGTACATGCACTTCTGCCCGAATGTGGGTAATCCCACTGAAGATACCTAGCAATTTTAATAAAATACATATTGTAAAACCTTGAATTGAAACCCTGGGCTTTTGCGAACTTTGGATGGGCTTCTTTTCGAGGCCACTTTTGCAAAGTAAATAGGGGGGGGGGGCTTCTTTTCAAAATGAATGCTGATAAATTTTGGGAATTACTACTATAAAACAACAAAGAGAGTCACTGTAACATCAATCTGTATCATGAAGAGTATTAACCGGCATTAAATCACCTAAGCTACTATATAAACCAATCGTGTTTTTAATTTATTTCTTTGAAATTCATGTACAGTGTATGTACTGTACTATATTGAAAAGAAGCTTATGCTATCTTGAAAAGAAGCCCATGTGCTTCTTTTCGAGATGGGCTTCTTATTGAGGCTAATTTTGTTAACTCAAGAGGTGGGCTTCAACTCGAGATAAGCTTTTTTTTTTTTTGAGATTAAGCCCATTGGGCTTCAATTCAAGGTTTTATGGTACAGTTAAATATGGATTAGCTGTATTAAAGTCCTTTTCCAACATTATTTCTATGAATTTCAATAACTTTTTACATCAACTAGATAGATTAATCTTACTTTTGAGATCGTCAATTTAACATGATAAATTTTCACTTTTAGATTTAGCATGGTTTGTTTTCAATGTCATGTTAGAGGGTGCTATTTATAACCTTGGACAAAGTTAGATCTCAAATATGCAAAATTATTTCCTTTAAAAGGCGAGTTGCATTTACCTTGATCTGTGTTGATATGATTATAGAGCTCAAATGATTACAGTGCCTCTGTGATGATAGGACCATTCCATTAATTGAAAGGTGTTTTGGTCACTCATGAACTTGATTGTAAACATACTTTTGTTGCTTTCATGTGCTGTGTGTTAGTGTACTAATTTATACATATTTTATAAAGTTTTCTGTTTTATTGTATTATATTTAACACTGTAACTGTATGTAAGTGGAGTCTAGTATTCCACACGTTTGTTACAATGATTTACTGGAATAATAATATATAGCAGAGTTTTGCATTACGCCATGAATTTTTGACTTAACATCAAAGGCCGCACCTAAACTTTGTTTCCAGTGTTCTTGTAGAAACCTTCTTGTATACAGTTTTATGCTCAATTTTAATTTTAGTTGTTACAGAATATACTTCTTTGATCACTGTCAGGCTGTAAAAACAAGGGTATTTCTAGCCGAAGATAGTAGATGGGCCGCTAAGATAGAATTGTTGTGGACCAGCCAAAATACATTGGGCAAGTGAACCCTGATAAAATAAGTAACTACTTTCTGATCAACCCCCATTTTTATTTGTCACTCGTGGTCAACACAACCACCATTTGATGTGCTCACTTTTTTGCGGACATATCACATTTTCATTCATTTTATAAGATGGTTTTATAATTATATATTTCTGTTGTATATATGTGTGGCATTTCTATATTTCACAACAATTGTTGGTTTACACTTGTCACTGTTCTTTTATTTTAAAATTTTGGGTGTGACTGTATACTGTAAATATACCATATTTTTCTACACAATCCTTTTGCAAAGTTGTCAACAGTGTGAGGACTTCACAACCTAAATAAAAACACTTATTTTATAGGTTATGTAATATGTAATATTAATATATTGACAAAGGTATTTTTACAGAAATATGTAGCTTTTGTTATTGTTTTTACAACTGGTGAATGGTAAAACAATTGTAGAATTTTCACAATAAATTTAATTCCATTTGATAATAAACTCTGTTTTTCGAGTTTTATTTACATCACATATTTGTTATGATGAGATATTATCTAGTGGTAAAACTTCATAACAAATCAAAGCACTTCCTCATTGATTTCCAGCCAATTTAAGGGTCTATCAAAGAATAAAGGAAATGTATTACAGCATAAACAGCAGAACTATTGAGCACTGCAGGTAGACTGAATATTTGGGGAAAACAACTATTAAAAGGACCATCCTTGCAACATTGACAAGAAACAAATATTAAACTTATATAGTAATAATAGTGATAAAAACAGCAGTGTACTTTACTGCTTTCGTCTTTCTCTTATTTACAAATAAATGTGTGTAAAGCAAATTTCTTGCAAGCTGTCACTTTTATTACTTGAAAAATGTAAATATCCTGCATTCTCAATCCCCACAGCCATGCACACATGCAATATGTATACACTGTACTATCTTAAATTTCAGAGCTGTACAGCTGTAGTCAGCTAATTTGAATTGTTTAGCTCAAAACATTCTGCATTCAAGAGGTAGTATAACTTGTAAAAATATGACGATCTGACATCGCACAAAAAAATTGTTTTCAACGACGATCAACTCGGACTACCTCCGATAATCAGCGGAGTGGTGTTGCGTTCAAAACACAGATACAGAGCATGGAAAATTTCACTGGCCAATGACTGGCCGAACACTGACTCAGTGTGTTAGATCATGTTTTTCTTTTTAAATCAATGTATACTTGCTCTTTGGTTGTCTTATCAATGAAACTGAGGGTTTATTTTTTTTCCCTCAATAACATATTTACAGCTTCCTTTCTGCATGATATAATTTTGCTGCAAGTTTCAACTACTAGAGAGCTTACATTACCTCGTATGAGAACCAATCCGTTGAGAAAAGTGCATATCTGTGTCTAAGAATTTGGTTCTCAAGGAAACACAAAAACAGGATAGCAAAAGCTTGCTAATTTTTGTACAAGTATGTAAATAGGAATGAGAAATTTTCTCTGTGAATCGATTCCCTAGCGAAAAAGTGAAAGCTCTCTACTGAGTCCTCATATTACATAAGGGTCCATTCTTTAATCAGTTTATATAATTTTTCATGAGGATCACAAGGTGTTAAGATTCTTTACTCCGATCCATTTCCCTCTTCAGCTCTCGTGCTTTTCCTCCTAAACATTTTGGGGAATCGGAAACAAATCCTTCATTGTCCCACTGCTCTGGAGTAAATGCCTGAACAAAAAATAAAATCACACCATACAATGTTAATCTTTTGTTACACACTTTAACAAATGCATTATCTATCTACAGTTAAGTTTATTGCTTGCGAACACTAAAGCCAGACACTCATTGCATAATACGACGGTCCTACGACCGTAACACGACGAATCCACCTTTGCTTCCGGTGAGCGGTAGATGACGTAACACCGTTTGCTGATTGTCAGTGGCAGTCTGAATGGATCCTCATTTAAGCAGTGATCAGTTGGTTCTGCGCCGCCGCGTACGTTCGTCGCCGCGTCGCCATCGCGTGCAGTGAGTACCCGTTGCCCATGCAACACTGGATTTCCCCTTCCCCCACCTAACGTTTGTCCTTACCTGCAATATTACACCAAAAGGACATGTAAGAATATTTGACAATCCGCTCTTTTGCCAAAATTACATAATATGTCCTTTTAATATAGTAATACCAAATATTTATTAAGTGGTGCACCCATGTGAGATTGTGCTACCACTTATTGTTTGTCCATTTTGGCTTTTCATACATTAGTTGATTGCGTTTTAGGTTGGTAGGTTGATTGGTTTTAAGCTTGCTCTTTGGTTGATTTATTGTATACTGATTGGTGAATTGAAAAAGAATTTGATTTACCTGAATGGACAAGGCATGAACACCCGCATTCAACTCATCTCTCAGAGTTTCGTTCACCAAACGATGACGCTGCACAAGTTTTTCATCATGGAATTTCTGTGACACTATAACTACTTTGAAATGCGTCTCTGAGCCGTGTGGTACATTGTGCATATAACTTTCATTGAAGACATCTAAAACTGAAGGCTGTGAAAATATAAAGAAAAGAAAATTGCCTTTCAATAATCAAATTAAAAGAATTCAGTTCCATATATTGTCAGTCAATGACTTATGACATAACTGTTACCTCAACTGAAAACTCACCGACTTCTATTGCAGTAGCGTAATCACCACCTCCAAAGGAGGTTATGTAATTAACACTGGCCGTCATGTCTGTCTGTCTGTTAGCAAGATTACGCAAAACTAATGAATGGATCATCATAAAATTTAGTGGAATGGTATAAGAAAGCAACCATTCAATTTTTGGAAATGACAAAGGACAAGGTCAATGTCACATTTTCCTGAGCATGAAAGAAAATAATGGAATTGCCCCTCCTATTCAAGCACAGACAGGCCGGAGGTATGCTGTGCAGGACTCGAGAAAATAATGTGAATACAATGGGCAATTCCATTACTTTCTTGAGGGTATGCTGCAGCACTCAAGAAAACAATGTGCCTGAATATGATGGGCTATTCCAATATTTCCTTGAGGGTATGCTGCAGTTTGGCCTATCACACAGGGCTTGCATATAGTTCATATTCAGGCACAGAGTGGAGGTAAGCACAATATGGGGTGACTAGTTTCTAACTTTTTTGGGTCATAAACATTAAATTTGCATAGCCTATACCTACCTGAAAGTGGTTTGTGAGTTTGTTGACTATTGATTTTTCCACCACACCTTGTCTGACTGTAGTGCTGAGTTGTGCCGAGTGATGACTGGTAAGCACAACTCTTGTTGCCCTTCTTATTCTAATAGGAGAAAAAAAACCTCATTAAATTTCAATATCACTTCTATGCTATTAAAAATAGCTGTCAACACTTACTGAACACTAAATCAAACATTTGACAAACCAAACAAATTAAATGGTTCATGGAAACTGATTTTTGCAAAAAATTCTGATGATAAAATTGGCTGGGCGGACTAGTTTGGCCTCACACCAGACACTCCCAGTCACAAATATGAAAGAATTGATTGCACATCATCAATATGTGTTGAAGGCGATTTTGCTGACAGGCTTAGAATCCTGGTCCAAAGAATGAAACTCCATAGCATTATGTTTGCTGTCAAATGCTTGCATAATTTAATCGATTTTGATATTTTGGAATAAATTGTAATTAATATTCAATATCCAAAAACTCTCACTTTTAAACACAAGTATAGTAGAACTAAGCATTAAATATTCTTTATATTTTTATCTTTCCACAAATGTAGGTACATATTTTTTGTGATGTTCGTGATAAAGCCTTTACAATTTTGGAGGGTTTTAGAAGATATTTAAAACATGTTATCAAAAGTATAAAAATTTAGGATATTTTTTCTGGGTTTTTTCGTGTGTGTGAGTGAGACTAAGTCAAAGGTTAAGAGGTTCTCTAGTCAATGCTCCATTCTTATCAACCTCAAATTAAAATTTCAAATTTGTGTTGTGTAAAATCGTTGGAAAATATCCATGGCATGGTGATGGTGTATAGTTTTTAGGCCAACTATGACCTAATTAATTGCAATGTATATAGTAATTCACAATGAAAATGAAATAGGCATAGGCCTAGGCTTAGTAATTGTAGCCCTTGCTAGTCCTAGGCCTAGCTAGGTAGTTCAATAAAGTTAGCCCTGGCCACTTACTGGCTGGCTAAGCTCTCTACTTCTTAGTCTAGGCCCTCCTAAATATCCTGCCTTCCCTAACTAATAAGAATATAGTTAAAGAACATGGAAACGTTTACTATACTTCGATGCCTAAATGATTTTTTATGTGTGCCTAATAAAATATTAAAGTGATACTTACAAGAGTCTCGTCGAAGTTTGCATGTTTTCTTCGGATTAACGTTTGTTTTGGCAACACACGCCCTCTCGTGGCCAAACCCAGCCAACTGCTAGCTATGAAACGCCATTAGTGCATTTAGACAACTTTCATCAAGCCGTTATATTCCCGAGGGATTTTAGTAGACCGTCTTACAGAAGAAAACATGTAGCCATTGCAAATACACCCCCCCCCCCCCACCACACACATAACAAGTTAAAGTGTATATTTTATATTCCTATGGAAAGTCAAAAGACCATCACTGGTGATCACACACAATTAATATATGTAAACTGGAGTAACATATTTAATGTATGACCAAGTTAAGAAAAATGGCAATTAATGTTGGTAGGCTTACCTACTTGAAGTTTTAAGAACTAAATATCTCATGCTTTTCCGTTGATTAAAACTGAGTAGAAATCGAATTTAAAAGACGGGAAAAGAACGATCAAAATTGCATTTATGGAAATAAGCTTGTTTTTGCTACACAAGAATGTCTTCTAGCTTATAGGGCCTTTAATTCCCACTACAACAGAATTGAAAGAGAAACATTTAATTCCTAATCCATGAAGTTCATAACAATAGAGCTACCAAATCAAGGAGATAAGTCAGAAAAGAAAAATTCATTAGACATAAAAGATAACCTTGACTGGTTCACCGTTAACGCAATATCAACGCAATAATAGTAGGACTTTTCAAAATCTGTAGTCTAGAGGCATTTTCTCTAGGCCTACTTAAATAACAATTACATAATCGGGTTCGATCCACCCCGAGCTAAGCATGCGTTGAGCTAAGCATTCCCTTACCTTATGCTGAGCACTCTCTTACCATGAATTACTGAGACCGACCAGAGCCTCGGTCAGGGTCCCGGCATAAAAATCCCTGGTAGGGTTGCGGGGAGAGTTTTTTAGGGCTTATAGTGTAACCCAAATAGTGATTTTAGACCACAATATTAGGGATTAGCAATAAAAATAGCATGCATTATTTGGATAGGCGACTTATTATTTTTGGTCCAACGATAGTCGTGACGTCGGACGACGGAGGGTGTGTGGAGAATACGATGCCTTCATTCTAATTTTAACTGATAGATGCCAGTATGTTTTTCCACAGCATTGTTGCTCTCCAATATTTGGCCTTTTAATTTATAATACGGCTTTTCCCTGACACACTCGTTATGCTCTCAAAACACATGCTGTAATTTCGATCGACGGTGACGGGAAGATTCGGCAAACTGGGTTGTCATAATTTTGGTGAAATAGATTCGGCAATCTGGGTTTCGGCATAGTGGTCATGAACTCGAAAACTGGTCGGATACCATTTTGGCCAAGCTTTTTTTCAAAGTAGCTGGTAATAAAATGGATCTTAGTATAGTAAAACGTCTTCGGCAACTGAATTATTTTGATCTATGTGTCATACGTTATACTATTATCGCATTTATTCAAATAAACACCCCGGGGTGTTTATTGTTGAGAAGGGGTTTTGAGGGTGCGTTTATTCGCGGGAGGCATTTATCATTTTTCTTAAGGTGTAAAATGGATACGTATAATACTTAATTTTATTAAACGCCCCTTAATTGAACTTTAAAATTACCGTCAAGGTACGGTATGTTATCGCGGGATCATAAAGACTCCTATTAATCACAATGAAGTCCAAGGCCCCGACGGCGGTTGGGTGGGTGGGGAGCGTGGTCGGGCATCTCCCGAAAGTGGTCTAAGGGGAGAAGCCCCCGAAAATTTTGACAATTTAGGAGTTTCAAATGCTTATTTAATCGATTTAGAGTCTACTAATATGCAGAAAATTTGTTTCTCCCCGACGAACTGTAGTTTTTCTCCCTGAGGGAGCGGCTGCAGTTCTCGCCGAAGGGGCCCTAACCCCCGGCCCCGCTGGCAACACCACTGGTGTCTGACAGGGACGTTTATTTTAGGGGGTCGAGTTTATGGAAAGCGGGGCGTTTATTCGAATAAAATTATTCTTTTTTATTCATTCAGTGCAACAACATCCTCCAGGTACGGTACCTATTTCCTAGTTGGTTAGAGACAAATTCACAGCTAGTGTTCGAACACCGACCACTTAAGCCCCCGCAACCACACTGTGACAAACGCCCACAATACCATAGTCTTAATTCTTTGGTATAGTGTGCTCCTGAATGAGCCTAGAGACAGCACTCAGACTAACTGTATTGCCGACAATGGACAAGATAATAATAGAGTAGGCCTATCCATCCAATTTTAAACTTTTATCCGGTACACTAATGCGATTGCGAAGCTAATTTCTCAATGGTACTCAACAAAGGTGCCATTGAATGCACTGTAAACCTACACAGACCCACACACACACAAAGTACAAATGGCACTAACATTAGCTACTCTATATTGGGAATTCATCTTTAGGAGCTCAGTAAACCCATTCAAAGGTGTCTATAAAACGAAGACCGAAGACCCAAAAACGAAGACCCTTATTTTTTCTCTTTCATTTTGATGATAATACGCCAGGCTGTCACAAAATCAAAATTACGAAATTTTTTGGGCGTCTGTTTGTGAAATTTTCAAGGGTCTTTTTTATATAAGGGTGTCTACAAAACGAAGACCGAAGACCCGAAAAACGAAGACCTCCAGTTATTTCTCAATTTTCTTATTGAAAGTATTTTAAAATCATCATAAAACAGGTGCCAAGTACCTATTTCATTATTTTATCGGAATAAAATGAGGAATATCAAGAAATACTTAAGGGTCTTCGTTTTATAGACACCCTATATGGGTGGCTACAAAACGAAGACCGAAGACCAGAAAAACGAAGACCCACATTTTTTTTTTCTTTCAATCGTGATGAAAATAATGTTTTTAAATCACTTCATGCTATGTATATATAGTATTCGTCTTAGCACATTGTTGCCTGAATCTGAGTCAATTGAACGATTTACCCTTTATTCCAGTTCCAAAGCGGCAACCAATGTTGTACGTCCACGGCTGGTGGCTGAGCGCGTCTTGGCGCTGCTCCCTCTAAACGAAAGTAAGGCTTGACCTAGCGGTACGCGTATTTTGGGGGCCTACAAAAACCTTGAATATTTCATTCATAAACTTGTTCCATGTTAAAATAAACAGTAGGAATGTGGTATAGTGACGCATATGTGCAGCATCGGTCATTTGGTAGTGACACCAACATAGGATGGATGAGATAATTAAGGGTCTTCGTTTTATAGACACCCTATATGGGTGTCTACAAAACGAAGACCGAAGACCCAAAAAACGAAGACCCACATTTTTTTTGGCCAATATTGATAATATAATGAAATATGTACTTTTGGCAACTGTTTTATGATGATTTTGAAATACTTTCAATAAGATAATTAAGAAATAGTTGGAGGTCTTCGTTTTTCGGGTCTTCCGTCTTCGTTTTGTAGACACCCATATAGGGTGTCTATAAAACGAAGACCCTTGAAAATTTCACAAGCAGACGCCCAAAAATTTAGTAATTTTGATTTTGTGACAGCCTGGCGTATTATCATCAAAATTAAAGAGAAAAAATAGGGGGCCTTCGTTTTTGGGTCTTCGGTCTTCGTTTTATAGACACCCTTCAAAGCCATGCGTATTTTTCAAAGTCTTCCATGATTTCATTTTTTAAACCTTATTATTGTACCAATCAAATATCAAATGGTTCTAATTATGACTATAGGCCTATATCTTTTATCTCAGCATTATAAATATCTTTATTATTTATTTATACACTTATTAATAATTCTAATTTTTATTGGTACGGTATTTCTTATTATTAACACTCTTGTCTTGGGCTCTCAGATAGGCTAGTTCGGCGACAGAAAACAGTGTGCGTTGTTTGGGCATCCATCCATCCATGCTCTCTTGCATGGAGTCTCTCTCCCCTAGCATAGATTGCAATTTCGTTTCCGTGGCACATAGCATTTCATTTTTTATGTTGCTGTTGGCTTTTATCAGATGTAATGGATTCTCAGAAATCAATTGATATGTTGACAGAATTCACGGTGCTTTTTTGGTAGTGTAACATCCTCTCTCCTCATCCATCACAAGCAACATTCCTTCTATTCTCAGATGTCATCGAACACAATTTGTTCAAATTTTGTGGAAGTTGCAACCAAAGACAGAGAAAATGGAGTGATATTGTAAATTGTGTACAAAGTGCTCTCACGACCCGACAGAAGCCAACAGGTTTATGGAACCAATTAGTATTACGTTGATATAGTCCTATTTATATTTTAAGAATTGGAAAACTGAATATTCAGCATTTTGATGTATGCTATTTGAAGGCATTGAAAAGCCTGAGTTTGTGTTGAACGTAAAAGCTTATGCCTATGGAGTAATGCAACCCAGCTAAGCTAAAAACTTTACGTTTATGTTGCAGTCTTTTTTTTTTTTTTTGTTTACTTTAAAAAAAAAATAAATATTTGCAACGCAAACAAAACGTTGTTGCGTTCTTACTTACCGTATAACGTAATCTTCTGTCAATCACGACGTTTTAACGTTCGCGAATGTTACACAGACCATGGATGGACCTATCTTATTAATAGGTCCATGCACAGACCATACCATGTGATACAGGCCTAATAATATATAATAATATAAGGTTTTGTGTTTGCGGGAAATACAGTGTAGGCGAGGAGTATAATTTTGTCACAGTAGGATATTTGAATAACAATGGTAGACGTGCCATTGCCGGGCTCATTATCAAAAGATTGACTTCTGAGTGACTTGGTATATTGTATAAAAGTAAATCACTGACACGCACTGAGGTCATGTCTTACCACTATAACTGAAAAACATGGGGCTATGTCACGACCTAACCAATAAAACGAACCATTCTATCGTCTGCAGGTCGTATCTCCATGGCGGGAAAATCCCTGCTGAATATACTAGAACAATAGGTGAAAGACTTATTCTGAAAAATAAACTTGTCCTAAGTAAATCTTAGACTCAGTATGCTAAACGCACTGAACATGATGTTGTTGATACATGAACTAAAACATCTAAAGCTATGCAATAACATAACGCGCCCTCATGTAAATAAATCATGCCACAAAATACAGTGCATAGAGGTATGTAATGTAATGCAGTATTTACATATCGTAAATCTATATTCGTTATGTACACAGTACACCAACATATAGTTTCACGCGAACCTCCGTGCTAGTCAGAAACCGATGGTGTGATTAAACCTGACAATACCTGCAATTTTATTAAACTTCATTCAGTTCGTTGACTGCTCAGTAGACCAAATAGTACAACAGGAAAAAAAAAACTTAGAGAAAAAAAAAAAAAAAAAAAAAACAAGCTTGCTGCCCAAGCACGACTAACCCGAAACTTAGAGTCGACATTTTTTTTTACTCAAGGAGGACAAAAAGACTCGTAGGTATATAAAAGCTACTCCCGAAGCTACTATACAAGCTTTGATAATAAACTATGTACGGTAACAAAGGTTTATATTTTATTAGGTTACTAAACAAAATGGAGTCAGTGTACTCGAGGTAAAATAAAATACTATAAGAAATATATAAGTTCTTCATTGTTTAATTAATTTCTGTGATGCCAAGAATCAGTTGATTTCAAAAGAGCATGGCATGGTGTCGTAAATACATAATTCATAGGGCGCCCAGTCCTCTATTGGTGCATCTATAATTATTGAATAACGTACTCAGAAATGCGAGAATAAATTCATCTCAAACACCAACATGCAACACTAAGGGTGTGCATTATCAGCATACAACATATAATCACTTATTGATTTTGCGATTTTTCCTTATAGCAATAATAATGCGTATTATTATTATTTTTTAATGAGATGTACTATAAAACGTGTTGTACCGTATGCGTATGATTATAATAAATGATCGATAATCGTTAAATTGCACGCATGGTCTTTGCAGTATAGGCCTACGTGAGTAAAAACAAATATACATAAGTTCAGTAATTTTATCAAAATTTGAATATTACGCACAAATATGAAACAACAGTAATTTATCCCTAGTCCGTATGGCTTTTTAATCATCTCATAAACTGTTAAACAAAAAGAAAAATCCTATCGGAAGTGATAACATCCTGGACTTACAATTCTTGATTGGTTGCGATGCAGCGCATAGCCACCATATTACGCATACAATCTAACTTATTGTATCTCGTGTGAGGTATGCCCACCCTTACTACTCGAGTAAAAAGGCGGGCATTAAAATTTCAAATATGAATTCAAGTCACATTCAAGTAAAATACCGCAAAATATGGGAAATACAAATTTATTAATGTGAGAAAATGAACACATACACACACAAATAAGAAAAATGATCAGAAAATGATCGATTTATTTACCTTCTTTCTCTGCATTCATTATGCATTTAGGTACACTCTGCATTATCTACAAGGTCTTTAAGTTTAGAAAGAATGGATGATCAAATTGTTATATACCGTAATTGTTTTATAGGCTATTATAAGCCTCATCCTATCATGCCCTAACATATGTCGAATATATGAATGATGTCTTACATTATAGTAAAACATATCTATCACATGTATAGGCCGACTTAAAGGGGGGTGGGGGGACTATAATGTTTAATTTTTTTTTTAATGGGCCAGGGGAAATTACATTCAAATTCCAGACCGAGATTTCCATTTCCGGCCCGAACCATAGACCATACAATTTTCCTCCCTCGTCCTCGACTGTACGGTACATTTAATATTAGAATTTAAGATTGTACAGGTATTTGTATAGCCGATCAGTCGGCGACACTGCCTGACTAGATAGGACTTTCAGAACCTAAATCAAACCAAGTGCACCATCAGAGACAGGAATACGAGTGGTCCCACAATAACACGTGTATTTACGTGTGTTTACGCTGTCGTTAGTGGGACGAAGCTTGTAAGTGGAAAATGTCCAGTACATAATAAATAACTAATCAATAATTAATCATCTATTAATGTGATTATAGTATCATTTCTTATTCAGTTTAAGAAAAAAAAAAACAAAAAACCAAAAAAAAACACAAAAAAACGGTCGATTTGTTTATGTAGGGATACTAATACAGTTGACTAATGATGAATTAAACTTATATTAATTACAAATTATAATATTATAACAAGCAAATATTTCCAACAAACTTAAGAAGGCAGCTTAATTTAACGATGATGGATGCAATAGTGCACGATGTCGTGCATTTCGATACTTGGAATGTGTACTGTACTATATTAAATAATGCAAAGTCATCAAATATTGTAAACAGTATATTTTGGTATAAAATGCTTGTATGTCATGCACATGCAGGCAATGTTATAATTGTAGGCCTGTATTTATACAGTGCCTTACACAATCAATATTGTCTCGAGGCGCTTGAAAAGAATAATATAACATTATTAGGTCAAAATTCAGTACAAATTTCGAAAAAGACTGAAATTGGGCTAAGAGAAACAATCCTTTCGACGTACTGTCAATAACACGAAATTCAACACCTTTATCTTTTGCATAGACCCTTATTTATACCATCATGACTGGAATTTTTAGGAATTTTGAAGATGCTTTGAAAAAAAAATCTATATCAGCGCAAGCCTTTTGATTAATGTATTGTTTAGAGTTATTTTATTAATTCAATAAATTTGCTTATAATCACATTTAGAGATTATCTCTTTATCTTCAACATTTCTCATATGCACTGAAATGGTCGTTCAATATAAAGACAATAAAAACATAGTGAAGTCCGACAGCTTAGAAAATTAAAAAAAGAATGTTTAGTCGGCAATATCATGACACTCATCTGAATGCTGATATTAAATATTCGCAATTTAAAGTTTAGTTGGTCACGCGTAGCTGATTTTTCTTTGTAAATTTACTAACTAGTCCACTTGTTATGTGGATCTGTAAATAATTCTAGTGTTGAACAGGTAAATAACGAGAGGATTTTGGGACATTTTAGTGACCCGGTGTTCAGACTTCACATTCTTTTTATCGTTGTTTGTACAGTATGTCTTTTACATAGGAGCTTTTAACGCGCTCTGGGTAAACAGAAACTCGAGGGAGTGTACTTTTAGATCGTGTTGGCTATGAATAGGTTTCAATAGAAGATTTACTCGGTGCATACATAATACAGGCTTTTGTTACGAGAACACTGAATATTCAATAAATCCTCCTTTTTGTAAGTGAATGACTGGCTTTTCTGTATGCAAGCCGTAGGCATTGAAATTTCGCTTACGCCGTTGTGACAGGAAACCACACGAAACTTTCTAGGCCATTTTTTGTTCCGTCGTTGTGCTGGAAACAAGACGACCAGTTTATGTTTCCACCACTGAATTAACTCTTAACTGGTCTTTAGTCTGCCATCGGGATAATTATTATACCAAGTTGTTACTCTTTTACTGGTCTTCTGCTGTTTAATATAGTGCTGGATCGTTCACTCCACCTATTTAACTCAAATTAATCAATCCACCCGTGACTCAGGAAAGCCTCTATATCGAAGCGCATCACCGATCGATTTGCAAGAACAAGTGGTGATCATTGTGCGCTCTTGAAGACGTTTGACCATCCGTTGTCTTGTTTTTCCTTGGATCGGTGAACCGTATAGGAGAAACTCTTCGTATGGTTGGGAAAGACCTTGTATGTTTTTCACCAACGCTCCAGTGAACTGAGAAGAAAACATTTTTCTATCAGAACCGGTCAACTGTGAGAAGGATTGCTCATCATGATGACGAAGAGGAGACGCACAGGAGGTAACGGGGATTGGGATGAGGGAAGTACACACAGCCGTAGTCTGTAGAACGTTCGACTGTGTTACTAGACAACGTACTGTTACATAGTGTTAGGCTCCGTGACTACATCAGTTCTTATTACTGTGTCTATAACCGATAGTGTCCACACTTCATAGGCTTAATATAAGTTACGCAAAGTGTATCGTCGCTTTATATATACATATATATGTATAATAGGAAACAAGTACCATGTGTTCCAGTATTTCGACCTATCCTCACGGGTCTTTATCAATTTAAGTAAAAAACATAGCAAACAGTATTTTA